TATATATATATGTGTGTGTGTGTGTGTGTGTGTGTGTGTGTGTGTGTTTAAAAATACAAAATACAAAAAAACACACAATGGTGACAAAAAGAAGATTTATTAAATGAAAGACAATGGAATTAAATAAATCTAACAACAATTAATTAGTGCATGTGGCTGATGTCTAAGGTGGTCAGTTTAATTATAAATCTCTCTCTCTGCGGGGTCTCTGACCACCCACCAGGTTTGATGTGGCTTTGTTAGAACGTGTGTGATTGTGATCTTTAAGTCTGTAATCTGTTTAATCTGTGTTCTTGTGATCTGTTGATATGTTTTTTTCTTGAATTGCTCAGAGGATTTCGTTGTTAATGGAAGGATCAGAGAAATGTAATAGATCAGCGAAAAAAGAGAGGTGTGTGTGTGAGAGAGAGAGAGCGAGACGGGCAGTTTAAATGAATTAAACTCAATCTATCTTATTCGTTTCCACTCATAACCCCTCCTCTCTGAGCTGGGATTTGATTCTCTCAGGTTTTATTAAATTGACTTCTTAGATTTGAGTGAGAGAGTGACAACATGCACACACACACACACACAACCCATTTCTGCATGTTTTTTTCTCTGTCGTTATGAGCAAAGATACATGAGCCCTTTCGGTTCACATGTGAGCTGATGACCATGGGGCCACTGCCCGTGTCTCTAGTCTCCCAGCGCAGCGAAGGAGCCCCTGTGTAATCAACATTCCTCCTAACGAACTTTAGTTGTGTCAGTGCGTTTGTGTCTGTCTCTGTGTGTGTGTGTGTGTGTGTGTGTGTGTGTGTATGTGCGTGCGCGCATGCACTCTTGCTGAGTTGACTATGAGCCCAGTAGGGATTTTTAAAGAATGAATATTGCAGAGGCCAATTAAAGCAGCCAAACGCACACAGAGGGTAAACATCTGACTAATCCCACAGCATTCATGCTGAGAACTCACACACACACATGCATACACACACAAGTTTAAGCTCATTATCAGCATTCCCTGGCACGCTGCGTGGAAAAAAAGCATGGATTAAGAAAAACCAAAGCGTCAGAAACAAACTCGCAGCTTACAGATGGATAAAGGGAATGTGACACCACTGCTAATTAAAAGAAATAAATGAGTAAAGAGGAGAGCAATGAGTGGTTGCAGAATTTAGATGTGCTACTGGAAAAAGGCCACCTCTGTGGTTTGGAAAGTAGATTGATTTCGGTTACAAACGGCATATTGTACACTTTTGATACGCATTTAGTTTTAGCTCATGTTGAGTGATAATGTTATGGTTTCTTCCAATGAAGTTTAACAGGATAATTGTCATTTCCCCTCTGAACTTTAGCTGTTTGTGTTGAAGACTTTAAGACTTTTTGCTTTTGTTTGACTTTTGATTGACTGTCCTCCATGTTTTGGCCTAGTTAAGTGTAGTCCACCCAGAAATTTACATTTTGCCATAATTTACTCACTTTCATGTCATTCCAAATTTGTATGAGTTTCTTCCTCTGTGAATCACAAAATATGGCATTTTGAAGAACATTGTAAACCAAACAACATTGGAGTCCAGTGAGCACAGACTGAGGGAATAAATTATGACAGAATTTAATTTTTGAGGAAAATATGCCTATAATTAAGATAAGCCAAGTTGCTGAATATTAATATTTACGTAAAATTTGGTGTTAATATGCTCATGTTGTATACAGTTTTCTGTATTAAAAAGCATTGTTTGTGGATCATTTTGGCAATGTTCAACTCAAGCTCAGATCATTGAGGCCTACAATCAGTCA